AATGTCCAGCGCCCGGCCCGGGTTTAAGCGAGGGGAAGGCCAATAAAAGGTTGTTATTTCCGCTCGCCGGCTTTATCTAAAACAGCCAGACAAAACAAATGAAAAGGCTTTTGTAGAAAATCTTTAATTGTGGCTGGACAGTTGTAAACTCATTAAGAGCCGAATTCCAGACAGTTTGCAGACCCGTCATTTATTACACACTCTTAATGCTGATTCTTTGAAGTTGCCTCTGTCTGCAACAACAGAGGGCGTCCCATCATCCCCAAATACTGGCTCAGGGATCAATTAGAGGCTTTTTTTGTGTGTTTGTGCACACCAGAACGAGCTCCCTTTTGCTAATTAGAACTCACCGAATCTTACCCAGGATTTCTGGGGGGGATTTTTGGCTTTGTTTGGGTTTTTTGTTTGTTTGTTTGTTTGTTCTGGGGTTTGTGTCCGTGTGTGCTGCTTGGTTTGGTTTGGTTTAAGGTGAAGCCGAAAGCTTTTTTTTTTTTCTTTTTTTTTTTGCCCCGCAGTTCTGCACATCTGTAAACTTCTTGCCGGCTCCCTAAGTTTTTGTCTTTAGCCCTGCAGCGTTTTACACCCCATAAACGGTTACAGCAGTCATTTTATTTTATTGCACTGTATGGCTCTGAATTTTCCGAACAACAGCTTCTGCCAAGACCATCAGTGCGTTCCGTCTTATTTTGCTTTGGATACATATACATACATAGATATGTAAGTGTTCCTCCGTAAGCTGAGAAGGCTTTTATTGTTATTCGACATATCTGCAAACAAGGGTCGGTGTGGCGCAGAAGTGGGCTGAGGCTCATATTATGGAGGATATCTCCCCTGAGCAGTAAGATGTCCGCCCAAAACAAGGGTAAAATTCAGCAAGCTCACAGAGTTCGCTATTTTCTTTTGTTGCTGAGCTTGGTCTGGCTTGGGGCGGCGGGGGAGGGGTGGGTGCAATGGGGGGGTGTATGAAAATCCACTCAGAAGAAATAACCTTAAAAAAAATATATTTAAAAAATTCCTATTTTGCCTTTACTGCTCCAGATCCTTTCCCTCGGCTAAATCAGCGCGTAAAATCGACACCATAAATTTTACCATAATTGTCAGTAAAATTTTATCTGTATATTTATTTACCTATATATGCATGTATAATCTGAGGCGCTAGTAAAATGCAAGGCGTTGTTTTTATTTGCCAC